CTAATTATCTAGGACATATATATATATATAAAGTTAATGAGTAGAGATTTATTACTATTATGTGTTATATTTATATATAATTTTAATTATTAATTACTAACTTTAATGATTGAAATTTATTTATTAAAAATAATTTTTTATTTAACAAATTATAATAAATGTCATCAGTTAAAAATAAAAAAAATTAAGATTTTATATTAAAAATAAAAAAATAAATGATATTTTATAAAAATATAATATAAAAAATTTGTGTAAATAAATTATTACTCAATTATAAAACTAATTATCTAGGGATTAAGAAACATACCTCTGCTTTCAACGTACTTTTGTTAATATGTGGGAAGCTAGAAGTGGGTGGAGATATCAGCTGGAATAAGGTACACGAAAGATGGAAACAGTTATATTCTAACTGGAAATTAGAGAAGACATGCTGATCTTCCAGGAATGTTGATTTACTACTCTTTGCTTCTGCCTTTTGAATTCTAAAGAAATGGAGATACTGGAAAGAAACGGAGAGAAAGTGTCAGGAAATTAACATAACATGAAAATCAACTTTAACAAAATTAAGCTGATCAAAAAAAAAAAAAAAAAAAACTTTAACAAAATTAAAGAGATGAGACGAACAGCGTTTACTTCTGTCTAAAGGACTGAAGTTGTGTGCTGAAAAGGAATGGATGGAGATCCGTGGATTTTTAGAGAAAGGGATAGAATTGAAGATGGATTCTCTCCAATTTCTTAGGTATTACTGGATGCTTGACCTTTTGCAATTGGAGGTCCCACTCACAGAGAAAGTAGAGCCCACATGAAAAGCATCTTTTACCCAAATCCACCCCCAAAGTTAGGTGGTAAGAATGGATCCACCCCAAACAAAAAATGAGAATAAATTCACTTACAAAATTTTTTATTTAGATAAATTATTTCAAATTTAATGTGTGACGTCATCTAATATTAATAATTCATTAATAATGAACTTATTAGTTATATAACAAATTATTGGATTGTTAATGTTAGATAATGTTATACGTTAAATTTTAGGTGATTTATCTAAATCAAAAATTTTGTGAGTGAATTTGTCCATTTTCTTGTTTGAAGGTGAATCCATCCATGCCACAATACTTTGGGGGTGGATTTGGTACTTTTCCCAAATGAAAAGCATCTTTTTTTTTGTACATCTGAATGGGGTAGACGAGGAGGATAGCCCTCTCCTTTCCCTAAATCCCTTTCCACTCAACTTAAGGTTTGAATTTGAGATATTTAACTTAGATTTCAAATTATTAACCACCAAATCATCCCACTGAGATTGAAAAGCATCTTTTACATTTTTGAAGAGAGAGTCAAAATAGAAAGGTTAGAACCTACTTTGCTTCCTGTAGTTTAAGAAAAAGTCTTTTTTTTTTCTCAACTTAAAATAGATTTTTTTGGAGTCCTTAAAATTTATTTTTTTTTATCATTTTAGTCTTTAAAATTTATTTTTCCTACTCAATGATGGAATATCCACATCATTAGTTTGAATGGAAAAGGAGGAAAGTTCTATGAAGTAATGCATTAAGTTTGAGAAAAGAAAGACCAAAAATTGTTGAAAAAATAAACTTTGGGACTAAAGTGGATATGTTTTCAGTTAAGCACTAAAAAGGACTCTATATGAAAGTTAAGGGATTCAAATTGAGATTTGAACATTAAAAAAAAGATAGGGGTAAAAAAAAAAATAAGGCGGAAACTTTTTGTACGACGGGACATCTTTTTGGTCTTGGTCTTGGTCAGAGTCCCACCGCCCACGTTGTCTAAATAGAGTAAGTAATATGTCGATATAAGTGCACCAAA